TACCATAACAAAAAAGGGCAAACCAGTTCAAAGTCCACAAAACAAGCAAAGGGTCAAAATCACCAATCCGAATAACCAGGCAGAAGTACAAAAGGGCAAATCCAAAAACAGAGTCAGAGAACACGAGAAGAATAAAGTCATAAACATGAAAACACTCAAAGAAAACGCTCAGTAGTTTCATAAAGAAAGCAATACCTCACAAAGATTCTAACTAAAGCCTGGGCTTAAATATTATCTAAAACAGCTGCAAAGCATTAGTATTCCGGCGAACTTGAGCACTGATTGGAGGATGAGGATCTCTCCAGAGTCATGTGACTTTGCTAAGGAGTCTGGGAAATGGAGTTCATGTCAGAACATGCGAGCGAGGGAACTAGCTCCATCTGATGAGTGGCAGGAAGCGTGACACAACTACATAAGTAGAGAAACAGTTACAAAAAATTTTTACCAAAAAATTACATACTAAATTGGTGTTGGTGTTGTACTTGATTATATGTACACACTCACTGGCCACTTATTTATACTATGCTCATTTCCCATTTAATCAGGTCCATTTAATGTATAAGTGCACTTTGTAGTTCTGCAAATGCAGATTGCAGTTGATCTGTTTCTCTGCATAATTCGTTAACTTTTTCACCTCATTTATCAATGATCAGAACCCCCACCTGGACCACCACTGAACAGGTATTATTATCATTTCGTTATCAGTACTGCAGTTACACTGGCATAGTAGTATGTGGGGTATTGGTACTACTGTATCAGATACAACAATGCTTTGAACACCTCAGTGTCACTGTTGGAGTGAGGAATACCTTAAAAATGGCCAGCGAGTGTATACATATGTGTGGGAAAGAGAGACAGCAAGAGAAAGAACATCTGAAGCCCACCCTACTGTGCTAAACATACTCGTCCTTTAACAGATGTGGAGGTCTCTGGTCAATTTCTTTGTCACTTGCAGCTTGTGAGGGTGGATTCTCCATGGCTGTATCTAAAATGAAGAAAAAGTAAGCAAAATTGGTAATAAACACTCACCAGACAAAACATAAGGATGAGAAAAATCCTGGACAGTATGAAAAATAAACATACAAATCAACACCAAGAAAAAGAAAACACGTACAATAGAATACAAGAAGGAGCATGTTATTGTGAATAACAATGTAATATGTTTTTTACAACATCATACAACCTTGAAAGCTCTTGCTTTCACGCAACAGTTTTAAAAATAAAGAAAAAAGCAAAGCATGTGAGCCATAGTTCTAAATACATCTTAAAATTCATAACGTTGGCAATATTTTGAGCTAAAAGATGTAGTAAAACATATAATGAAATCTGTACTAATAATACAAAGAGCAATACTATAAACAATACTATAAGTAAAAGCACCTGGGACAAGCTCTAAGTCCTGATCAGTGGAGAACCAGAAGGATGGCTGTAGGAAAAGAGAACATTGGTAAAGGTTTAAAATGCTAACTTCAACAACTGAATCAGATGCAGGCATATTTCCTTTGACTAACTAAACTTGTACAAGTATTCAGTCCTCTCAAATCCAGTAAAGACACTGCTTCCATACCTGAAAAATACAAATACTTTTTTTGTTCCTGACCTCTTCTGAGCTTAGATGGTCAGTGAGGAGCAGGGTGGACAAAATACAAATACAAACTTGTGTAAAAGCAGCAATACTCTTGGTTAAATATTACCTGTGTAAAGGTATTCAGTCAACATTTGTGCTTGAGTACTTGCTTCTAAATTACATAAGTATCAGAAGTAAAGATAATTATAGAAAATGTTAATTTTGATGAACACTTTCTGTTAAGAAAACTTTGCTATAGACAGGGACAGTGAACTCTGATGTCTGCAGCCACAAAGGCTCTTTAACGTAAATAAATGTATCAAATTATATATCAAAATAATATAACTGCAACTTTTAATGTCCATGTGTCATATTAAACATAATTCATTATACATCAAACACTAAATTATTGTTTCACCATTATTTTCCATCTGCAATGACAAATAAAAGCATATATAAAATAAAATAAAAAATAACCAATAATAGTTTTACGCTTTATGATATTTAGCTTTTTCAAATTATGTAAAGAAATGAAAAACTAGGTTTTGTCCCAACAGCAACAATATTTATTTTGGGCAATTATGATCACACTGGTAAAAAAAAAAAAACTAAGAAAACCAAACCAGCAACATGCTAGAGAAAGAAATGTAAATAAAGCTGCTTCCATACATGAGAAATGCTGGTGGTGAGTTAGATGTAGGAGATGTGGAGGTCATTGCAAGAACAGTACCAATTTGGTTAAGCCTTAAAGCAATGATATAAATAGAAAACAAAAGATTTCACAAACATTAGTCTGATACAAGGTTTAGTCACTTAGCATTTAGTTACCAAATCAGTACAAGTAATAACTTAAGTTACTGTTTTAATTGCAGCACCAGTTACTCCCTCAGATTTCTGTTTTTATCTTCTAAACTAATATGAGTGAAGCTGGTCTGTGGTGTGTGAAGCCATTAGCCTGCTAGCCAGCAAGTTAACAACCTCACACGTAACAGAACCAGAGCCGGTTTATGCGGAGCCTGGCCACTTCCTATTCCCCTGTTAAATCAAAAACAGGACTGCTAATCAACAGAGGGCGCCCGCGAGTGAGTCCTTAATTAACGGGAGTGAACAGCTAAAAACGAAAAGTTAAAATAGTTTCTAATCACTCAGAACGTTTCTTTAATTTTAGAAAGTAGAAGGATGTATTTCACTAAAAAAGCAAAGAAAACTCACCTATATATTTCCCCTTTTCTACAGCAAACGGGTTTTGGGCAGCAAAAAGCAGGCATTACCGCTAGAGCGTGATGATTGATTGGCGAGCTGAGCAGCTCATTGGCTGTTCGCGCTCACTGACGTCGTGGACATACATGAGGTGCCGTTTTAACCTCCTATAACTTGAGTTTAAAAGCTCTTAAAAATATAACAGCAGTGTTAAAATATTTTATGATATTTAGTGTTCAGGAAATGATTGCATTCTTTTACATTAAAAATGTTTAAGCATTTATAAACTATGATTTTGCTCATATGCTCCATATCAACCCATTCATTTTGAACTCACTCGGGAGTGCCCTCTAGCGTTTGAGAAAACCGGAAGACATTGCAGAGTGGTAATTCTCCTCTCTACAAGTTCTGTAACAGAACCTAGTTAGTTTCTCCTTTTCTATCACTCCAATGCCAGACACTCGACCTCCCTTGCTCAGATTTGAGAGTTTAATCGTCGTGGGTTAGCATAAGTTAGCCGGAACTGAGCTGGTCTTCCAGCAGAGCTATTGACTTAGCCTGCTAATATTAGCTAAGCTTGCACAAACACGTTAGTTAGCTAGCTAGCTAACAACTCTAACAAGTGTACACACCAGTTTATTAGATTTGGAATATAAATTTGACACAGTTCCAAATTCATTTAAAAAATGTTTCTCGTATTATTTTGTGAGAGCGCTCATCTAAAAGAGATGACTCACTAGGCTAGCTAAGTTAGCTACCACAGCAGATAATGGCGAGCTAGCTAACTGTCTGTTAGCAAATCATGTTCGTTTGAACATATGAGAAGTTCAACATTAACAAATTATAGTATTAGGTTTGAGTAAATGTCTCACTGAAAACTGTTGGTACGTCAAATAAACCAAGCATTTACTTACCAGACTTCTGAAGTTTCCAGAAGCTGCTCTAAGTGCGCACTTCCCGCGGTGGAGCATTGGTGACAGCTCGGACCTTAGTACGGGTAAAGTCTGCCTCAATACAGGTGGAATCTGCCTCAGTACGGGTAGAATCTGCCGTGTAATTTTTCCCCTAAACGTCAGTTGCCGAGTCTCGCACATACTCGTCCCGATTCCGGTGTGCCAGAACTCTTGGCCGAGACTGCACAGCTTGGGCCGACTCTTCATGTTAGCTGGGTTATTAGCCCGTTAGCATGTTAGCCGGCGTCATCTAGCTAGTAAACAGCCAGCCTGCTATAGGAATATAACTTTATAGCTACTTAGTCCAGCTACAGAGAATGTACAATATAAACCAAATAAAGTATGCTAATGGCTGTTTTTGTTAAGTGTTAACTTTTGCAGCAAACATATTTCTATTTGTAGTTTTGTACACTGGGTTTGATATACTCTGTTACATAGCTCCATGTTTATAGAATCAGTTGGACGCTACTAAATCAGTTTGCTGAACAGCAGACCCGTCCAGGTACTAGAACCCATGTAAAAACGTTTCATCAACTTGAAATTGTCAGTTGATACAGCGTGTGTGCTGTGAGACAGTCATGAACGCAGTATAGATTATTGAGTTAGTTAAATCATCACGAGAAAGTTGGGCCAACTGTATTTTTTAAATTCGCCTAACATTTAGCGAGTTGGATTTTTTACAGTGCGTAAGAGAGTTGCAAGGGGCAAACCACTGCTGACCAAAAAGAAAACACAATACAATGCAATGTCATAGTGTACATACCTATTTAGGAGAGCATACCGACAAATAAAGTACTGGACCACTTGTGTGTCCAAAACATCTACAAAATGAAGGGACAGAGAACAGAGTTTGTTGAAATAGTTCATAGTTCATTTTTGCAGCCATGTTGAGCAGGATGGAATTCAGTCTCTACTCTATTGCTCATTCTCTCCTATCCCATTAATGTTCATGTTTACCCTTGGATGAGAAAAAATTGGTTTGTGGATAAAAAACAAATGTGAAAATCATGTACAGTAGACAGAGGGCAGGCAAAACTGCTCTAGCGAGAGCTAATAAATGTTCAAAAACCTCTATTTTATACACTACACAAAGAGCAAAGAGAGCTTTTTTTTTTCTTTTAGATTGGCTTTGAAATTGCATAAATTTGAATGAGAACCAAGCTATTGTGTGGTCTTTCTAATTAGTTACGAACAATTTTTGTGAACAATTTTTTTTTAAAATTTGTTTAGTTCTGAACTGATGTTTTTCTTTCCGTCTCTCTTTTTGTTGATGTTTGCAGATGTCAAAACAATATGGATCCATATTCACTGTGTACTTTGGTCCAAAGAAAGTGGTTGTTTTGGCAGGATATCAAACTCTCAAGCAAGCTCTGGTGAATCATGCAGAGGAGTTTGAAAACAGAGACATCACTCCTATATTCGCTGACTTCAACAAAGGATATGGTATATGATATTTTCTGGAATACCCCATTCACTGATGCCCATTTGCTTATGTAAAATGAAATGCATTTATGCCTTATCGAACCAATGAGCTCTAACAAAGTTTACTCCAGTTGATAAAGAAGAGTATTTCATGATCAACTGCAGGAATTCTGTTTTCCAATGGAGAGAACTGGAAAGAGATGAGGCGCTTTGCTCTCTCCACCCTTCGAGACTTTGGGATGGGCAAAAGAGGGAGTGAAGAGAAAATCATAAAAGAGACACGTTATTTGAGAGAAGTGTTTGAGCAGTTTAAAGGTAACGACATGTCACCAAATGTAAGGCAGACACTTAAAGTTCAACTTATGTAATTGGAATTTAATTCTATACATAGAATTCAATGTAAGGCACTGCTGGGAATCCTGGTCCTGTGAAGATGTCAGAAGTAGAATAATTGTTGTCTGCTAGCATTTGTCATGTATGTAGACTTTGTCTTCGTTTGCATGAAGCAAACAAACCTGTGACAGACATGTATACAAATTGTACAGTGGTAAACTGTCACTATTAGAGCTAGGCTTCAGTTCAGGCCATAAATGTAAAAACAGAAGTAATAAATTCAAAAGTGAAGAAAAAAAACACCTCTGCAATAAGACTAATTAGAGAAATGCACGAACAGGAGAGTACTTTTTTTTTAATCTGTAGCTGCACTATTAAGCTTTTGCCTAATCAACATTATCAAACCTCACAGCCTCAAAGGTGACAGCAAGCTCACTGTCAGTCAGCTCTGACAGCACTCAGAAAAGTTAAGACTTCTTCTCCAAACATTACAGATCAGTCTTTCAATAATTTTTAAATGCATAATTTTTGTACTGTCCTTAAACACATGTATTTTAAAAACATGAAAGAAGCTCGATGATCAAATGACAGAAATTTCTAGGCTGCATTTGGTTCTGCAAGCAATTCTGTGCCATTTCTAGTTAGTTTTGTTAGATATACATTATTTTTTTTGGTCTCTGATATTGTACCATCTCACTGTCTTACAGGGAAACCATTTGATACCACACAGCCAGTGAATTATGCCATTTCTAATATCATCTCAGCCATTGTGTATGGAAGCAGGTTTGAATACAGTGATCCTCTGTTCAAAGACATGGTTGCCTGGAGTAATGAGAATATCAGGCTAATTGGCTCAGCATCTATACAGGTACCCTTCTGCATCTACAAATGGAGCTCTTGTGTTATGAATTGTATGAATGTATAAATCACTTAACACATGATTGCTAACGTATGTACCTGTGTGTACCTCTAGGTGTACAACATGTTTCCCTGGCTTCATTCTTGGGTAAAAAACAGGAAACTCATCATGATAAACCGTGAGAACTCTATCAAAGGAATAAACAGACTAGTGGACCGTCTGCAGGAGACACTGAACCCTCAGGACTGCAGAGGCTTGATTGATTGCTTTCTTGTATGCAAACAGAAAGCAGAGGTATGTTTTTCTTGTACTTGTATACAGAAATGATAAGTCTGTGAAGTGAAGAACGAGGGCTTTATCATTGTGCAACCACTCATATATTCTGGTGTGTCCAGTGCTTTTGACTTGAAAAACTGAAGCAGTGCTATGTTATTTTTATTTTGGAATGATCGACTTTGCTTTTATTTAGTCTAAATGTTTGTTGGATATCACGCCTTTGGTTGTGTAAGGTTTGGTTTAACTTTATAGCATAAAAAGTGTTTTTTTTTTTTTGGTTGTCTTTTTTACATATGTGATTTAACACAACTACAGAATGATAACTTACATTGTACCAATGTTTGTGTGATTTCTTTTTGTATATAGCTCTATTTACATGAATTTTGCTTAGTGGCCATTTTGCTTAACGTGAGATGCATACACTGCTCAGTAGTGTCGTAGTAAAGACTGCTAAAAATAAATCCTAAAACATCAGCAGTTATTATTGTATTATAGTCTTAGGGCAACATGCATTGTAACTGGAAGAAGTGGAATGGTTATTCTCTGTTTTTTCTTCTCTAAAACTCGTTTAGAATCACTGCCTAAGTCAAATGCATAATCTAAACTACATCCACTTTTGCTATTAATATGAAATACAGTTATATTATCATTCCAATCTGCTCTCAGGAGATGCTTGAATTTATCAGTGAACATCAACAAACAAATAAGTAATCTTGAAAAGGAACAATTAGATCCTTAACCAACAAATTTTATTTAAACATGTACAACAGTGTTTTTCAACCTGTGGGCTGCAGCCCCCCGGTGGGCTGTGGTGGTACTGCAGTTTGGTTTTTTTTTAATGCAAAAATTTGTTGCAAACATTTAACCATTTAATTATTTGTTAAAATAAAACATATTTATATCAAACTCATTGATTGTTCTGGCAAAATATTAGCTAGTTAAGTTTATATTTTAGTGCAAGCATAACCAAAGGGAAATATGTGAATATGTGGTGCTGGTTTTCATGTGTGTGAGAACTGAAAATGAGTAACTACAGCTCTGTGCTGTTTGCTCAAAGGTCTTCTCAAATGAAGTTTTGTAATTCAACATAGTTGAATTCAGACTAAACATAGTGAATAGACATCTAAACCTGTTGAATTGAGTCAGAACTCCGTTTTCAGCTTTTCTGAAAAGGACTAAAAAATGTCTTTTAACACAGTATGGGCCCAGAAGCTTTGTAAATTCACACGATTGAGAGTCTGATGCGTATGTATATACCATTTTTTATTTGTATATTTAAGTACTACAAGGGGGCTATGCACCTAAGACTTTCACTCACCTTTTTGATTTACTCGATTTGATCATAAAACAAAAACAAGATTAGATTGCATTTATATCTCTAAGCAAATGGGAGCCAAAAACTACGAAGCTGAACCTTTAATCAATTTAGATCACTTGGTAGTGACTGTCAGTATTTTTATAAGCAAAGATATAAAAAGAAAATGCTGGAAGATGAATGTAACTTGGTTGAAGAATGAGTCCTTTGTAAATACAATTAGAGAGGAAATAGAAAGAGTCAAAGGCTTAGATGTTTTAACTAATTCACATTGTGAATTATGAGAAATCTCAAAGAATCCTTTTAAATGGTTATTGATGGAAGAATGTCATCATCATCATCATCATCATCGTTAACCGCTTAGTCCAGATAGGGTCGCGGTAGCAGTTGGGAGAGCAGAGAATCCCAGATGACCCTGTCCCCCGCAACTTCCTCCAGCTCATTCCCGGGGACCCCAAGCCGCTCCCAGGCCAACTTGGAGATGTAATCCCTTCAGCGGGTCCTAGGACGACCCCGGGGTCTTATTCCGGTAGGCCGTGCCTGGTACACCCCCACCGGGAGGCGTCCAGGGGGCATCCGGATCAGATACCCGAACCACCTCAGCTGGCTCCTCTCAATGCGGAGGAGTAGCGGCTCTACTCCGAGCTCTTCCCGGATGGCCGAGCTCCTCACCCTGTCAAATAGAGTGTGGCCCGCCACCCTGCGAAGAAAGCTCATTTCCGCCGCTTGTATTCGCGATCTCATTCTTTCGGTCATTCCACATCTCGTGACCATAGGTGAGGGTCAGGATGTAGACCGATCGGTAAACAGAGAGCTCCCTCTTCACCACTACAGTCCGGTACAGCGACCGCATTACTGCTGCCGCCTGTCCCAGCCTGCGGTCGATCTCACGATCCGTCTTCCCATCACTCGTGAACAAGACCCCGAGATACTTAAACTCCTCCACCTGGGGCAAGTCCTTTCCTCTTACCTGGATGGGCATGCCATCCTTTTCCGGGCTAAGACCATGGACTCAGACTTGGAGGTGCTGATCTGCATACCAACCGCTTCACACTCAGCTGCAAACCGCTCCAGTGCGCGCTGGAGGCATCCATGTGATCCAGCCAAAAGAACAACATCATCTGCAAATAGCAGAGACGCCACCCTCCGGCCTCCACACATAATGCCCTCCTGACCCCGGCTACGCCTTGACACCCTGTCCATGAATATCACAAACAGGAGTGGAGACAGGGCACAACCCTGGCGGAGTCCAATGCTAACACTGAAAGAGTCCGACTTAATGCCGAGTATACGAACACAGCTCTCACTCCGGGCGTACAGAGATTGAATGGCCCGGAGTAGTAACCCCGGCACCCCATACTCCCGGAGGACCTCCCACAAGATATCTCGGGGAACACGGTCGTAAGCCTTCTCCAAATCCACAAAACACATGTAGACTGGGTTGGCAAACTCCCATGCCCCCTCAACAATCCGTGAGAGGGTGAAAAGCTGGTCCATTGTTCCACGGCCAGGACAGAATCCGCATTGTTCCTCCTCAATCTGGGGTTCAACTATCAGTCGAAGTCTCCTTTCCAGCACCTTGGCATAGACTTTCCCAGGGAGGCTGAGCAGTGTGATACCCTGATAGTTGGCACACACCCTCCGGTCCCCTTTCTTGAAAATAGGGACCACCACCCCGGTCTGCCAGTCCAAGGGTACTGTTCCTGAGGTCCCTGCACTATTGCAGAGGCGTGTCAGCCACGACAGCCCCACAATATCCAGAGCCTTAAGCATCTCCGGACGAATCTCATCCACCCCCGCTGCCTTGCCACTGAAGAGCTTGCCAACTACCTCAGTGACCTCCACCAGGGAAATGGAGCTTGTCACGCCAGAGGCCTCTGGCCCTGACTCCTGTGAGGGAGGCATGTCTGCCGGATTAAGGAGTTCCTCAAGTGCTCTTTCCACCGACCAACAATATCCTCATTTGAAGTCAGAGTTTCTCCACCCCTGCCGAATACAGCTTGGGCGCAGCCACCCTGACCGCTCCTGAGTCACCGGACAGTTGTCCAGAACCTCCTCGAGGCCGACCGAAAGTCTTTTTCCATGGCTTCACCAAACTCCTCCCACGCCCTGGATTTTGCTTCTGCCACCGTTGCAGCTGCCACCTTTTTTGCCTGTCGGTACCTATCTGCTGAATCGGGAGTCCTTCGGGCCATCCAGTCCCTAAAGGCCTCTTTCTTCAGCTTGACGGCCTCCCTCACCACCGGTGTCCACCAGGGGGTTCTTGGGTTACCGCCATGACAGGCACCAACAAACTTTTGGCCACAGCTACGCCTGGCAGCTTCCACAATGGAGGTTTTGAACAGGGTCCATTCAGACTCTATGTCCCCTACCTCCTCCAGGACATGAGAAAAGCTCTCCCAGAGGTGGGAGTTAAAATCATTTCGAACAGGGGCCTCCGACAGTCGTTCCCAGCACACCCTCACTATCCGCTTGGGCCTACCGGGTCTAACCCTCAGTCTTCCCTGCCATCTGATCCAACTCACCACCAGATGGTGATCAGTTGACAGCTCAGCACCTCTCTTCATCCGAGTGTCCAGAACATATGGTCCCAAGTCAGATGAAACGACAACAAAGTCAATCATTGACCTTTGACCCAAGGAGCTCTGGTACCATGTACACTTATGAACATCCTTGTGTTCAAACTTGGTGTTCGTTATGGACAATCCATGCCTGGCACAGAAGTCCAATAACAATTCACCATTCGGGTTTAGATCGGGCAGGCCGTTCTTCCCAAACATGCCTCTCCAGGTCTCCCAGTCATTGCCAACATGAGCTTTGAAGTCTCCCAGTAAGACTATGGAGTCTGTAGGCGGGGCCCTTTCCAGAACCCTGCCCACTTGCTCCAAGAAGGCCGAATACTCCGACCTGTTGTTTGGTGCATAAGCACACACAACAGTCAGAGTTTTCCTCTCTGCGATTTTAATACGCATTGAGGCGACCCACTGCCTATACGCCACTGCACCACTCCCCCATGCTGGACCTTGCGGGTGGTGGGCCCACATGGTCCCCCCACGTTGCCTCTCCAGGCTGAGCCCGGCCGGGTTACTTGGGCTGCCCAGCCACCAGGCGCTCGCCGAGGGATGCTACCCCCAGGCCTGGCTCCAGGGGTAGGTCCCGGTGACCCTCTCCCGGGCAGGGTACACGATCTTCTTTGTCCGTTTTTCATGGAGGGTTTTTGGATCGAGTTAGTCTGGGTCTTCACTCCAGACCTGTTCCCCCTGGGAGACCCTACCAGGAGCATGTTGCTCCCGACGACTTAGCTCTGAAGATCCCTAGACCACACAAGCCCTTCCGCCACGACAAGGCCCCGATCCAGGAAGAATGTAAAAAAATAAAGAGCAAAATAAAAAGTATGACGATTTCATTTTAAAGGGAAAGTTGATAGAACACAGTAGAAGATTTAAAGCTGGAAGAAATGAAAGAGTTTAAAGATAAACATCATGCTTGAGTTTCAAAAGAGTGTAAAAGCAATGTGTGTTTACAATGATGAAGAAAATAATACAAATATTGTTAAACTTCTCAGGACATTTAAAACTTGGCAGGAAACAAAACATATTAAAGAAATTTGAACTGTGGATAATGAAATGTATAAAGGGATTGATTACAAATGTGTATAAGGATTGATTATAGTAATTTAGAAAAAGGCGAAATGCATAATATAAATAACTTGAGGCAGATAACCTTAATGAACATGGGATATACAATTTTAAAAAAATATCAAAGAACAGGTTTTGGGATATTTTCGAGAAGATAATAGAGAAGGAACAGACATATTAAGTTAAAGGGAGGAATATGAGGGATAATCTTTGTGCTATCAGAGAGGTTATTTTGATTAAAAGGTTTATATAGTATAGTATTTACAGTAGCCTTAGACCAGAATAAGCCTTTGGTTTTGCCTTTACTAACATGCCTTTACTAACATGAAAAAATTTTATATATATATATATATATATATGATGTGACCAAATGTAAATATGTACGATCTGTGATGCATTGTTATAACATTTTATTGTATCATATTGTTGAAAATTAAATTAATAATAAGTTTTTTAAAACCTCCAAAGTATTGGAGAAAGTTGCTCATAATTACTCCTGCTTTAAGGTCCCTAATATAGCTCAGAGCACACAAAGCACACATAATTCTAAGGACACAAACTTTACTAACTTCTTTGAAGAACGGACCAGACTTTTACAACTCCATTTCCAAAAAAGTTGGGATGCTGTGCAGAATGTAAATAAAAATAGAACGCAATGATATGCAAATCATGTTAAGCATATTTTAAAGGAAAATACTACAAAGACAACATATCAAATGTTGAAAGTGAGAAAATGTATTATTATTATTATTTTTTTTTGCCCATTTTGAATTTGATGCCAACAACACATTCCAAAAAAGTTGGGACAGGGGCATGTTTACCACTGTGTTTCATCACCTCTTCTTTTAACAACACTCTGTAAGTGTTTGTTAATCGAGGAGACCAATTGCTGTAGTTTTGAAAGTGATATGTTTTCCAATTCTTGTATGGTACAGGATTTCAGCTGTTCAACAGTTCGAGGTCTCCTTTGTTCTATTTTTCATTTCATAATGCACCAAATGTTATCGGTGGGTGACAGGTCTTGACTGCAGGCAGGCCAGTTTAGCACCTGGACTCTTTTAATATGTATCAATGCTGTTGTAAAACATGCAGAATGTGGTTTGTCATTGTCTTGCTGAAATAAGCAAGGCCTTCCCTGAAAAAGACGTCGTCTGGATGGTAGCATATGTTGCCAAAACATGTATATATTGTTCAGCATTAATGGTGGCTTCACAGATGTGCATGCCACCCATGCCATGTGCACTAATGCACCCCTATACCATGATGAATACTGGCTTTTGAACTGTGTGCTGATAACAAGCTAAGTGGTCTTTAGTCCGGAGAACACAGTTTTCGTGATTTCCAAAAAAAATTCAAATGTTGATTTGTCAGACCACTTTTCCACTTCCCCTCAGTCCATTTCAAATGAGCTTGGTTCCAGAGAAGGTGGCAGCATTCCTGAATCCTGTTTATGTATGGTTTCTTTTTTGCATGGTAGAGTTTTAACTTGCATTTATACATGTGGTGACGCACTGTTTTCACAGACAGTGTTTTTCAGAAGTGTTCCTTAGCACATGGAGTCATTTCTACTACAGAATCATATCTGTTTTTAATGCAGCACCGTCTGAGGGCCCAAAGATCATGGCCAGCAAATACTGGACAGCAAACACATGAAGAAGGAAGACAGAATTAAAATAAAAGACAAAGAAACAGAAAAATACCAGACCAATAATCACTCTCACAATAGGTATGGTATTTACCATATTATACAAAAAAAAATTAACATGTATGAATGTTGCTACAATCATACGTTTTTATATATGAAAATAGTAAGCATACTCGGAATACAATAGAAGGACACATGAACTTATATAATATTACTCACTAGCCATATAACTTATCCAAAGATACCTTTCTGAGGTACCTGTTGTTTCCAGCATTTTATGTATATTTTTCATACAAACCACCTCCAAACATAAGAACAAATGAATAAAATGAAAGCTTTTCTACAAAAGAAGCGACTAAGATCATTCCTGGATGTATAAGACAGAAAAATAGTGAGAAATCGCTCCCAGCCTCAAGTCTGCTTGCATTAGCCTCTCAGAAAATCACAGAAAAGGTGAGAGAGGGGTTAGCTTCTCATATTACAGGCAGCTATAGCATGCTAATACTCCTCACTCTTTTACTCGGTAATACATTTGAAATACTCAAAATCTATCTATAAAACATCCAGATAAAGATCCCTAATGCTATTTTGCTTCATATTAAACCAGTATTATAACTTTTTACACTATATTAAATATTTGATGACCATTTTATAGCTCAGAGCTGAAGCTACACCAACCTCTCAGTGCTCTAACTAGACTGAAGAGAGTGTATGTGATGCACCAGATGACATCACAGCAACGCCCACAAAAATATATAAAATAAAAAAAATTATATATTCCAATTTAATCTATTATTTAAATAAATGCAAATGGAGAAGGCATGAACATTTTGAGGGAAACGTAATGAAAGAAAATACATTACACATGCAGTCTTTCACATGGTGGTGAACCCCTCATCATCTTTACTTCTGAAAGACTCAGCCCCTCTGGAATGCTTTTTTATACCCAATCATGTTACTGACCTGTTGCCAATCAACCACTAGGTGTTTTTTTAGCATTACACAACTTTATCAGTCTTTTATTGCTCCTGTTTCGACCTTTTTGGACAGTGTTGTTGCTATCAAATTCAAAATTGGCATATATTTTTCAAAAAACAATAAAATGTCTCAGCTTCAACATTTGATATGTTGTCTTTGTACTATTGTCAATTAAATATAGGGTTTAAATGATCTGTGCATCATTGCATTTTGTTTTTATTTACATTTTGCACAGCATCCCAACTTATTTGAAAATTACTCCTTAAAGGGTAAACTATTGTTTTCAAAAGTTCTGAATAAGTCAGTCTTTAAGGTGTAAACAGTTATTCATTGTGGTTTGTTGTGAAGTGGTTTATTAAAGAGAAACTTACAGACTCTGATTTCTTTACAGCGGTGGCGATGGGAACCAGGGGGCTGCATGTCCACAACACAAATACACAAAGTAAATTTTATTTACTATCCAAAACCAACAGTGATGATAATAGATGTTGATAATAGTAAAATCATCATGAATCTGAAAAATAAGATCTCTTTTTGGACAGTTTTGCTCTACAATGGCGTACATGTAACTCTCTACCATGAATGGATTAAAATTAAGGGATTAAATACATTTTAAGCCACAACTTATTTTACGAAACTATCATAAAACAATGAATCAGACATTAGGCAGCATATGTTTAACCACTTTCTGCGAGGGAGCTTTAAGAAGCATTGAGCTCTTCAGATGTCTGGTTCCTATCACCTCCACTGTGAACATTTTTGACTCTGTAGGAAGAACGGAGCATTCCACATCAAACCACTCTGAATTACTTTTTTTTAACATATTAATCATTTAATTAGACAGAATTTTTTGCTGTGTATATCTGGTCAGGAATCCGGAGAGAAGAACACTTTGTTCCATAAACAGAACCTACTTTACACGGTAGCCAACCTCTTTGGTGCTGGTACTGACACAACTGCTGCAACTCTGCACTGGAGCCTTCTGCTAATGGCCAAGTATCCTCATGTACAGGGTATGAATGAAAAATACTGAAACAAACATGCAAATGTTCAATGTTCATTGTTACAATGACGAATTGCTTATAATTTTTTCATTTTTTGCAGATCGAGTTCAGGAGGAGATTGACAGGGTGGTTGGAGATCGTCAGCCAGTGATGGAGGACAGGAAGAACTTGCCTTACACTGACGCAGTAATACATGAAATCCAGAGACTGGCCAACATATCACCCATGAGTCTCCCTCACACCACCACTTGTGATGTTCACTTTCAGGGCTTCTTTATCAAGAAGGTCAGTCAATGAGGTTAATGAGAAAAAATCTGCAAACCCAATACCAAAACAGCTGAGGCAGTATGAAAAATATAAATGAAAACAGACAGCAATGATTTGACCTGTTTTCACTTGAATACATTCTTATTCACTTTAATATACTCAATTCATTATTCTAAATATAAAGCTTGCAACATGTGTAAAAATAATTATTTTACTTAGGTATAAGTCTGAGACAAAAACTTCAACACTCAGAATGTTTTTGCGTTTTTTTATTTTCTCTGCAGAAGAAAAGGTTTATGATTCGACAGAGTGTAAAAAGCAGTCTGCAGAATCGAGAACAAAGAAACTGAGCTTTTCAGGGCTCTTCTACAGAAATACAGAAAAGAGGAAGCATCTGCACATCCGTTGTAACTGAACCATGATACTGGTATCAGCAAATTTTTGGCTGAGTTGACCTTTCTGAGGTGTTAGACAGTTTGTTCAAACAAAAGTTCACTGTTAAGTTCATGTCTGAGTTCATCGGAAGTTCCATGGTCTCCATTATACACTATGCTTAGTAATGTGCCACATGTTTTCAGTGGTGAGACAAGTCTGGACTGTAGGCAGGCCAGTCTAGCACCTGTATTCTCTTACTTTCAGTATGTGGCTTGGCATTGTCTTGCTGAAGCAGGGACATCCCTGAAAAAGACATTGCCTAGATGGCAGCATATGTAGCCTCACAATGCGTATGTACCCCTCAGTATTACCACACTTCCATACTATAACAAATGCTAGCTTTAAAACCTTGCCTTGGTAGCAATCAAGAAGGTCCTGTTTGTTTTTATTTCCAAAAGCAGTTTAAAAAACAGCTCATATTTTGGATGTTGTTGATTTGGCTTCTGTTTTAAGTAATCGTAACTCACATTTACAGATGCCGCAACAAACTCTGTTTACTGGCAGGGGGTTCTTAAGTATGTGAAGCCTATGTGGTTGCCTTCATTACAGAAGCATGTTTTTTTATGCAGTGCCGTATAAGGGATTGAAGGCATCCTGTATTGGTTTTTGGCCTCGCCCTTTATGCACAGAGATTTCTCAGGATTTTCTGAATCTTTTAATAATATGATGGGCTGTAGATGGTGAAATACCAGAGGAAGGCTGGTAATGTTAAAAGTGTGTGATTTGAATGGCTGATTTATACGGGATAAAGGATCTCCCCAAATTATCCCAAATAGCCCTGATTAAAACATCATTATACAGATGTATACCTCAGCAGTATGCAACAGGCACCACAATTTCAAACAATACCAACACGATATGCAGCTAGCTGGCATATAGAGTAGGATTAGCATGGAAAAAGGGGGTTCATTTAACTTAGCAAATGTTGCCCAATAAGACAGAAAATGCACTGCGTTGCAAGAGGTGCTTTTGAGCTATTTAATTTTCCTTCTTGTAATTCAGCCATCACCCAGAAAGTTCTTTCAGTAGTCTTCTTTTACACATTTTCTCCTTCCACCTTAAATGGTGCATGGGAAAATGTGAACAACAAGCTGGTGAATAGGAAGCAAACTTCAGCCTCATCCATTTTCTCTTACCTTTTTTTGTTGTTACATTCTGGAGATGTTAATTCAACCAGGACTACTATTACTACTATTGGGAGCTTTGAGTTTGGCAAATTATAGGGGACAATTTACCCAATCACTCAAATTACAGCATGTCCTCAGGTAATACTTATCCCACTCAAATAGAGCTTTACACTGCCACTGTCTCAACCTTTTTCGGAATGTGTTGTAGGTATCAAATTTGGAGTTAGCATATATTTACAAAAAAACAATACATTTGATAAGGTAAAATATTAAATATTGTTTCCTTTTGATATTTTCAATTAAATATCTGTAGAAGACAACTTAAAAATTACTGTCATAGAAATCTGTCACTATAGAAGTTCATCATTCCTGCAGGGAACATCTGTGCTTCCTCTTTTGACATCTGCATTGAGGGATGAGAATGAGTGGGAGACCCCCTACACCTTCAACCCAGCACATTTCCTTGACAAGCAGGGACGATTTGTGAAGAGAGATTCCTTCATGCCATTTTCTGCAGGTATTTTGAAGTGCTTTACTTCAATGTATGTAATGTTTAAATAAATTATACTGTAATTGTAACTCTATTCTACATCTCTGCTTTCAGGACGCAGAGTCTGTGTGGGAGAGAGTCTGGCCAGGATGGAGCTCTTCCTCTTCTTCACCTCCCTCCTGCAACATTTTCGCTTCACTGCTCCACCAGGCGTGTCTGAGGATCAGCTGGACCTCACTCCAGCTGTGGGCTTCACACTGAGACCCTCCCCCCACAAACTCTGTGCAATTAGCCGCAGTGCTTAGCCTCTTCAGTACTGGCACACTTCTGTCAAAGCGTCATTTCCTTTTTTATAATTGTCTAGAATTGTGGTGATGCAATATACAGTTGGAAAGCTTGAAATCTCAAGATTCCCACATACTGTTTTATGATGCATTTTTCACAGCAGTTACAATCGTCTCATTTCCAACATTAACACCAAATGAGCAAATCATAGCACATCTGTGGCCCCTTACCTTCAAATCCCTGTCACTATCCACAAAGACATCATAATCCAAAACATGTGGTCTTGGTAATACAGTAAGTGGTAGAGATCAGTTAAGAGATCTATGGATCAGGCAGAAATAAATCCCTAGCCTCTAGCCTCTGTTACTATTGTCAGTAATTCATACAATTATTCTGATGGTTGGAAAAATACTTGAGTGTTACCTTTCAAATGAGACCAAGATCATGACTATAACCCAAAGTATGTGGAAACAATGCTCCTTTTACAGTATGCCATTTCAAACAAAAATGGGGTGACAACAAGTTAACAGAGTGAAGATGTGGATAAACTGATGCTATTGTTCCATATGTAGTATATGCCAAAGCTTATTCTATGGCTGCTGATCTATTAGTCAGTAATTTTACTTAATATTTCATGTTCAAATATTCTGTTTTGATGTTTATGCTGTTGTAACGAGGTTAAAATATATCTTTGTTTTTTTTGTTAAAATTCCACCAAAATCCTATTTTTCTGAATTATTTGTTTTCATGTTACATATTTTACGTATCTGTACTGGGGAATCATTTATTTTGAAGTTTTTGTTAATTATGTACCGTCACTTTAAGAGTCACGGTATTGCTGTGCCTCAGCTGCAGCGCCTTCAGTCTGCGAAATGCGAACTGAGAGAAGGGGGCCTGTACTGGGGAGAGAGAGAGAGAGCGAGAGCAGCGTGAATGTTCACTCCTAAGCTAAACATTGTCTGCAGAGCTTTCACTGTTATATTTTTATGTTCATACAGCAACTATAAAAAGAACCAGCAACCAGCAGCAACTGTGGTCCGAGTCCTTCATTCAGTCGTCGCAGTACTCCTTGAACACAACGCAGAATAAGGGGTTAATGGTCGTTCGGTGGGACTGCTACAAAAACACACAAGCCACCGCGAACGCCAGTTACAATGGTGCCGTGACCTCTTCAGGAGAAAAACAAATCGACATCAGTTCGTTCACCGAGGGAAGCTGTAGTTGCCTGTTTCTCTGGTAAAGGTAATTCACTGGACTGTATGAGGTATGTTTTAGGTGTCTCTTGGATTGACTAGAACATTGGACTCAAAAGAGAGAAAAAAAAAACACTCGACTACAAAAGGCGTAATGAACAATGGACAGGACTGAATTTTGGGACTGAACTGCTTTATTCACTTTGGAGCTTTGTTTATGTGTGATTTTTGACTGCTTGATTGTTTTGTGACTTGCAAATTCTGTGTTTGTTTTTTTTCTCTTATTTTTCTGGTGGGAAATTGAAACATGGCAGAGGGTAGGACATATTTTGCTAGGGGAGAAGGTGATGATAGCTTTATGGAGTGCCGGTTTGGTATGGGGAGAGGGTTTTTCAATCCACCCACTCAAACCAGTACACCAGGGCCTATAGCTGCAACATTAGGAACACCAGTAATTACCTCCACACGTTGCACAGGACATGCCATGTCTAGCCTAATAGAGCAAAACCCAGACTTAGATATACTCATTACACAGGTAGCTGAAAAGCTAGGCAAATCCATTACAGCTCAGCTGCAGTCTGAGAAAAGCACACATAGCTCTAAGCATACTGATCAGTCCTCAGAGATGACATTGTCTAATGTCAAGCTTGTCATGCAACCAGATGCAAAGGAGCCTCCTATATTTAGGGGCGATAGCTCAGATAAGTTCACAGTGCAGGAGTGGGAAAATTTAATGACTTTATACTTAAGGAAACGAGCTATTCCAAGTCATGAGCACTCACAAGAAATCCTGGATAGGCTAATGGGCAAAGCAGGGGATGTAGTGAGGATAAAGCTGCGCAATAACACATCAGTTGACCCCACTAAGAACCCAGATGTGATCTTTGACATCTTAAAACAGCATTTTAGCGAACTGACGTATTCGAGCATGCCCTTAGCTGATTTCTATAATACATTACCAATGCCAGGTGAGGATGCTATGGAGTACTGGATAAGGCTCAACAAGACAATGGATGTTGCAAGTGAATGTCTGAAAAGGCAAAGCCGCAGTGTTTGTGATCCGAGCCATGAAGTCAGCATGATGTTCATCAAGCACTGCCCAGATCAGTCCCTTGCAGGTGTTTTTAAGTTCAAATCTGCAGAGAAGTGGTCAGCTAGCGAAATTCAAGAGAGGCTTGATGACCACATGCAGGAGAAGAAATCTCGAGCAGCTGTTAGAGCTCCAAGACCAAGCACAGTGGAGCGTAAGATCCACACTCAGTGCTCTGTTGGTGATGTGCATGTCTCAAACACATCTGTACCATCTTCAGTGCCTCCTGCTTGTGTCAGTACAGACAATGACTGCATGAAGAGTTTAGTCTGTTTGTTAGATCGGCTAGTCACACAGCAGACACAAGGGTTAGCAGACCCTAACACCAGGGCAGCAGTGCCCCAGTCATTCCGTAGGGTCTGTAGGATTTGTGGGGCTTGTGAACATTCTACATTGTCTCATTGCAGACGAGAGGGCAGATGTTTGAAATGCTTGGCTCCTGGTCATTGGAAGAAGGATTGTCCCAAACAGACTAATCAGCACCATTCTCAGCCTTACACCAGCAGTGGTGATCAGAATCAGCAGTTAAACTAGATCACTCATGCCTGGAGAGGGGCGGTGTGAGTGCTAAGAGTGAATCCCTCTTTAAAGACGGTGATTTGGCTCGTTTGTATAAAGAAAGTTGTGCCAGCGTTCCTAAGGGTTCTACAGTAATCGTTCAAGCAGCCCAGAAGGTACAAGCTTTCAGTGAGTTGTTCTATACTCCAGTTCTTGTCAATCACCAAGTGCAGCTTAAGGGGATGCTGGATTCTGGTTCGATGGCATGTACAATCAGTGACCAAGCCGAAGGGAAACTCCGTGCTGCCAGAGTCTTACCTGAGAAACAATATTCAGAAGACAACATTGTCTTAGTTGGCTGTGGTGGCCTACAAACACAGCCTGATGGCTTTTATGTCTTGGAGCTTCAGCTTTATGGCACATGTTGTGTCGTGCCAGCTTTAGTTGTGCCTGGTCAACATGATGACTTGATTTTGGGTTCAAATGTCATTAAACACCTAATTCATGACCTCAAGAATGGCGATGTATACTGGGATATTGCGTCAAGACATGGCCATCAGTCCAGCCCGGACATTGAGCAGTTCTTGTCAATGTTTACAGGTGTTGAGCGTTGGAGAGGGAGCATTGTTCCTGATAAAGTGGGCACTGTTAAGCTCACTCAAGCGGTCACACTCCTCCCAAAACATGAGCACTTAGTCTGGGGTAAACTGCCCTCCAGTGTACATTTGTCACCTGGCAGCACCATCATCGTAGAGCCAACGAACTCCAAAGCTAGACCAAGAGGTGTTCTCATTGGACGGCTTGTCACACCCTTGTGGGGAGATAGATGGGTGCCCATGACAGTCGTAAATCCATCAGACAAAACTATAACGCTGAAGAGAAACAGCAAGTTAGCTGACGTTTCACCCTGTTTAGCAGCTGAGGACTTAGATGTGTTTCAGGGCCTACACATCGCTTCTGAAAAACAGCAAAGTGACATCTCCTCTGGTGGCTCTCTTACTGCTCAAAACAAAAGTTTGTTGGAGCTGGGACTCGGCGACATTAACATTGATTCATGTCAAGTAAGCAATGCCTGTAAAGCTAAGCTTGTCCAACTCTTAGCTGAGTATCAAGATATTTTCTCCAAGCATTCACTGGATTGTGGTGAGGCCAAGGGCTATACGCACCGCATCCGTCTCACTGACGAGCGTCCCTTTCGTTTACCATACAGGAGAGTGCCCCCAGCTTATTATCAAAAGCTGAGGCAAGTTCTTACTGATATGGAGGAAAGAGGAATTATCAGAAAGTCTTCAAGTGAGTATGCGTCACCTCTGGTGATGGTGTGGAAGAAAGATGGTGGGCTACGAATTTGCACGGACTTCAGATGGCTAAATGCTAGAACTCTAAAAGATGCTCATCCATTGCCGCATCAGTCCGACTGTCTAGCCGCCTTGGGTGGTAGCTGTCTCTTCAGCACGATGGACCTCACTTCTGGCTTTTATAATATACCAATGCTTGAAGACGACAAAAAATACACCGCTTTCACAACCCCGCTTGGATTGTATGAGTACAATCGTATGCCGCAGGGGCTTTGCAATAGTCCGGCATCCTTCATGAGGATGATGCTTGGGATATTTGGTGACATGAATTTCACAAAACTTCTGTGTTATCTTGACGATCTTCTTGTCTTTGCGTCATCAGAAAGTGAGGCTCTGTCCAGACTGCGAGCAGTGTTCCAAAGGTTGCGTGAGAACAACTTGAAGTTAGCTCCTAAAAAATGTCATCTGCTCCAAAGCCAAGTCAGGTTCCTCGGTCATGTCATTGCCGGTGGTGGTGTGTCTGTCGACCCTGCCAAAGTGGAGGTCATTACCGCCATGAAGGTGCAGGATCTAATGGAGGATGATGGGGCTACACCTTCCATTAAGAGAATAAAATCCTTCCTTGGCATGGTATTTTATTACCAGCATTTCATACCCAACTGTTCCTCCATTGCAAAACCTCTGTTTGCACTTACTGCTGGGCAGAAGAGAAGAGGGAGATTGGCTAAAGACAGAAAGAAACAGGGCGTGTACAGAAAACTTACACCTGCGGATTGGACAGAAGAATGTGAGAGTGCTTTTAGCCAGTTGAAGTCTATGCTGCTGGAATGTGTTGTGCTTGCACATCCTGATTTTGATGAGCCCTTCATCTTGTCAGTTGACGCGTCATTGGATGGACTTGGGGCTGTGCTCTCCCAAGTGGCCAAGGGAGAATCCAAAGCAAGACCAGTTGCTTTTGCGAGTAAGACTCTCAGTGCATCACAGAGGAAATATCCAGCTCACAGACTTGAGCTTATGGCTTTGAAATGGAGTGTGTGCGAAAAATTCAGCCACTGGTTGAAGGGCCATAGGTTTACGGTCTGGACTGATAATAACCCACTCACATATCTCATGACAAAGCCCAAGATTGATGCATGTGAGTTGCGCTGGGTTTCAAAGCTTGCATCCTTCTCCTTCAATCTCAAACACCTACCTGGAAAAGCAAATGTAGTGGCCGATGCTTTGAGTCGCGATCCCTTTGCCAAATCCATCGGGCAGAGGTTATTGGAGGAGCCATACACAACCCTCATTCAGCAGTCCAGTGGACTTGAAGAAGATTCTGTGCAGGATGTTTTTAGAGTCAGTTGCCAGTCCCAAACGTGCAGATCAGCAAATCATACACTGCTCAAGACAAAGTATGATGCAGCTGAGATCAGAGCTCTTTGCCAGAGCCATTGTGATTGGATGGATGCAGCAGAAGTCAGAGCAGTTCAGTTAGCTCAGCATGTTCAACAACTGTCAAGCAGTCAAGAAACATTCCCCACATTTTCCATGGACGAGCTCAAGTTAGGTCAGGAGGAGGACCCAGTCATTTCTAAGGTGT